TACACGTCTGCCTTTGTTAGCTGGAGTACAGGAAGGAGAGCGCTTTAACAAAGAGAGGAGGAGAATATGTTACAAAACCAAACAGTGACACATACATCAGGTCAGAATTGGTCACTCTACATCTCCAGAAGTAGTGGTTAGACACATACAAACATGTTCATTTTTACAAGGGTTCTGAAAACAAGATGTTCTGGGGCAACAAGTGGGAAGACACATCCAAAAAAAGGAACAGTTGTTTTAAAGTGTAGTTTTACTCTGGCCAATAGCAGTGAAACTGCAGATACATTAGACTAATAATGTGCAGTTAGCGTCTCTGTACTGTGAACAAGGTGAATAAAGCAATCTCTTAAGAGTCACAATATGTCCAATTTAAAGTATCACCAAGAACCAGAATTATTCTAAACTTAATTATGAATGTGCAGGTAGGGTCAGGGCTCTCACCACACACCACTATGGCTTATTGTGTTTCATAATGAGAATTCAGAACATGATTTATTCTGTGCTTATTTACAAAGTTCAGATTTGTTTAATCTAACCCAAGCCCATGGGGACTGCACGTGAGGAGAAATTGCAGGAGGATTTAAGACATGTGTTTTTAATTTGTGATGTGTTGATAACAGGGGAAAACCAGTTTTTTCTAGCAAGTGGAGAAAATAATTTTGCCAAGGAAAAGTGGGATCTCATTTTATTGTTATTAAGTAATCCCAAATTCATCTTTAAATAAAACAAGCTGATTGCTTCTAGTAGCTAGCAAGATACACAAAGATCCACCTGGCAAAAAACCCAAATCAAATCCAACACTTCCATTATCAGACACTTGTAGTGATCACAGGAGACTGAACACCTAGACAACGTTACTGAGAGACAGCCTGCAACACATGGGAGAAACAGCAGCAAAGATTTAGGAATTAGTATATTAGAGTCCATGAGGGTGCCTTCCCTCCCCTTCAAAATCAAAAACCAGTGACAGCAAATCCCATCCCTACTTCCCTTTGCACCCTACCATGTACACAGGAGATACAAGAATGGTTTCTGAACACATGGGTTTCCACAGCTGTGAGGGTTTAGGCATCAGTTCTGCCAACCTCACCAAGTATCTTTTCCAGGAGGAACAGCTGGAACCACCAGTGACTGCTACTCCTCTGGATAGCGAGCTACCACTTCTGCTCAGCATCTGCAGGCTATGGAGGCAGCAGGACATCTATATTTACTTCCCTCCAGTAGAAATTGCAGAACTGCTGTTTTCCTCAGTGAAAAAATGAGAATTCACTCCAGCCATTCACAGAGTGCTATAAACAGTTAAGTTGTTTGGATGGCAGACACACAGGACATACCCACCCCGGTAATCTCCAGATGTCATTAGTGGGCCAAATTCAGTGCTGCTTACACATCCACAGGTTAAATAGACTTTAGAGATCTTGCAAAGAGTGCTAGATAACTGCAACTGCACATTACTTTACACTCACTCTGTCATTTCTTAATGAAGCACAGAGGCTGAAGGAACAACAGAGGCTATTAGTAGAATTTACTTTGCCTCTTTGATCACAGGAGAGGCTTTCCTGAAACCCATGCAGTATTCAGGACTGCTTAAGTCCTACCTGAGGGCTTCTAATTTTTCCTTAGTCTTAAATGTAAGGCACTGGAACAGGTTGCCAAGAGAAGCTGTGGCTGTGTGTCTCTGGCAGTGTTCAAGGCCAGGTTGGACACGGGGGCTTGGAGCAACCTGGTCTAATGGAAGGTGTTCCCACCCACGGCAGGGGGTTGGTATTAGATGGATTTTAAGGTCCCTTCCAGCCCAAACCATTCTATGATTTTCAGGTTTGACTAAGCACAGATTAATTCTTCTTGGGATGCTGCAAGAAACACTGCCCTTCAAAATAACTACTGTCAAAAAGAGACACTGGAAAGGGAACGGAGATCGCATCCAGTTGTGAGGGATTTTTAATACCCTTATTTTCATTTAAGTCTGCCTAATACTTTGATATTGAACCAATTCAATGAGCTAAACATAAATTAACCAGTAATTTTGGTAATTCAGAGGCTTTATATTATGAATTTTGCTGTGAATGAATCAAGTAATTGTCCAATACATGAAAGATGGAGAACTGACTTTAAGCACAACTGAATTAAAGCACCTTTCACCTACTAATGCCTACAACAGCTTTATTTCTCTAATAAAGACAGGTAGCTCAACAAGTCTTGTATTTGCCTGCATAGTACCCCTTCCCATCTTTGCAGCCATCTCTCTTCTCCTGCAGTTCTGGCAGTTTTGTGTGCCCCAGTGCTAAGAGATGGTAGCCCCTGGCCAGGCCAGGCCAGAACTGTACCTGTGCTCAAGGCAACTGAGAAAAACCTGCTCCTGTCGGAATCAAGACTGAAAATATAACAGGGAAAGTTTGATTCTGTGTGTTTTAAGCCATCCACATGCAACAGTATAGTCATTAATACCTGGACTTTTACCTAAAAGATGGGGATTTGAAAAGATTTGATCTGGGTGGACCGATCAAGAAGAGTATCTCAATAAATACAGAGTAAAGTACTGATGTCCTTCAAAACTAACTAGACAGCAACCAGGAGAACTTTCTTCTCCTAATTTTCCTCCTCTGCCACACAGATAATCTACTTTTATCAGCTTTTAGTAGAAGGTATTAGTTATTTTTAAAGGTAACTTTCTATGAAATAATCTGTTGCTACAAACTAAGTGTTCCTAATAGGAAACATAGAGAACACTTCTTTAATCCCCATAAAGTTGTGAGTATTATTCATTTATTGTAGATTTAACATGCCAGGAAACTACTTGTTTTCTTTTTTGTGTAAGACAGTTTTCTGTATGCTACACAAAAATATAGGCAAATACTTCCTGCCACAGTCCCAGAGATGTACCTTCACATTTTGGCTAAGGTATATACCTGATCTAGGGGGAAAAAAGCATCTAGATGAAAAGTATTCTTTCAGAGTTTGTGGAAGGAAATGCCACCAGCAAAACAGGCCCATGTGCCATACACCCTCTCTGTTACACCCTCCACAGCAGCCATTTCTAGAATAAAATTCATTATATCACATTTTAATGCAAATAGGACTATACTATTTTAAAGGCGTATGTATAAATATGTGTATACACATACATACAAGCACACACAGACACACACACACAAAATATACCTACGGAGTTGTAATGGATGGTTCTCTACTATAGATGCAAAGTATATACTCTGATTTTAATAAGCTTATTATTATTTACTTCTCTGTGCCTACTACTTCAGTCTGGAAGAAATATAATGCAGTCAGTTTTCAGCTTTAAACGCAATTCCCTTATTATGCAACTAAGTAGGCTAAAATATTGAACAGTGCTCTGACAGAAAACTACTATCTCAAATGGCAATAAAACCCAGTAAGTTCACTTCAGTTATAATGAGGTGAAGTTACATTTTAGCCTATATTCTGACAATACAGACTAAAAGAGAGACACTTTGTTTATTTGAGCAAACAAATTAACTGTATGAAAGGAAAACATTTTCACTGACGTTATCAGAAAACTACTGGAAACAACTGATGATAAAGTAATAATATGAAGCAACAGAACGAAATTAAATCAACATTCCAGTGGTTTTGGAACCATTTTCCACAGGCCATATCAATAGATAAGGCCCAAAAGCAGCTGCTCCCCATTAGAAAAACTGTTCGTAAATAATAATTCTTCACCTTAACCTACAGAAAAACATTTACTTTAAAATCTAACATCTGTCTATACAAATAGGTCTAAGTACGCCATTATAGGCAGTCTGTTTTCTTCTGCACTTGCAGATTTAAATTGACTGCATTAATATTTGACTATTCCAAATCAAACAACTGCTCTCTGTTATTGGGGGATTTACTGGTTTGAAAATCAGACTTACGTCATCCATAAAATCAATCAATGAGGATGAAGAGGAGGAAAAGGAATCCTATTTTAATGAAAACAGCAGTAAAAAAAAGAGAGAGAAAGAGATGGATGAAGGAAACTGTTCAGTATAAATAAAAGTGCAAGACTAAAGAACTGTAAGTAACTACTGCCAGTAACAGATACCTCAGTAAGTTGCCATTAATTGCCTTTCACAGACAATTAATAAATTACCTGTGTAAATCCCAATGTTCTTCCAGCATTCACTCAATAAAATAATATTCCTACACTCCAACAGGAGTTTGATATCGAAAGTAACTTGTAAGTAGTTCAAAAGCAAATAAAAAATGGTATTAATGTGAGGACTTCAAGAGAGAACAATGAATTAATGAATATGCAATGAAAAGAAAGTAAATCTGGGGACATCAGTAATATCAGGGAATATGCTCTGTCATGTGATGACCTTGTACACCCATCAGGAAAAACACCGGGGGGCATTTTAGACCAGTGTGTAACTGTACATGTGCCTTGTTCCCCCTGAAGTCAGTTTGACCAGTGTTTCACCCCAGCTGTTCTTTTCAAAGACAAATGGTGCATTGCTTACTGTTGATTAAAAATAAAAAAGAAGATAGGAAATACACAGTGTCATCAGTTTCAAGTTTTTGCTTCCAGGTTTTCTACCTAAAGTGGCTTTTTGTCTAAAATTGGCAAAGGAATTAAACAGATTTACATTTTAAGCATATAGGATCTGCAGAGAGGAGATGAATAGTAATTATCTGGATTTTACAGATCTGTTTAAAATGAACAGAAAATGAAAACCACCTGATAAATACATGGTACCAAGGACTTCATAGAATACACCCAAGGATTATTTACGTGTTTTCTCTCATTTTTACCAAACCAGTATCTGCAATACTTAGCATTTTTCTAAACACAAAGAAAAGCCATTTGAACAACTACACTTTCCATGTTCACTACAAAACCAGGAGAATTTCTGTAGTCAAGATTTGAGAGAAATTGCTACGATCACTAGTGTTCAACAGAAGACAGCCAGCACTGTAAATGACAAACAATTCTCACAAATATAACTGAAGCAATACATAAAAACACAATAGCAAACTCTCAGTAAATATGCATATAATGTGCACATAACAGCAGTAGTTCCATTAACAGAGAGAGAGAATAGCTGTACACTTACTTCAAATTGATCCAGAGCAGAGGTAGGCGCATTCAAAAATGCCAAGAAAGAATTCTGTGAGTCTTGGTGCTTTACACCTAGAAAACAGCAGCAGGTTTTTAAGCTACAGAAAAATGACCTTTTCATGGAGGACCTTTGCCTTGTGGAACTGGGGTCTGAGTATTCACCTGAACCACCTACATTTTTTGAAGTGAGTTGTCACAGTTGGTCTGTTTTCCAGAGTAAGACCTTTTCAACAGACGTTACACCCTCTAAGCAAGCAGCCTATGTTTAATTAACATTTTACAAGCTAGGATGTGTGTGGAGTGAATTCAACATGGAAACATACTGTAAGTCTATGTCTGTTAGGCAGAAGGCACAGGTTCCTAATGTGCTTATGTCCACTTGCAACATGCAGTGCATAACACACAGGCACAGAGACTAACAGTGGGTGCCAGCCATCTCTAGTCACACACTGGACAGCCTACAGTGATGAGATGACTGTAGCCAACAGTAAGGTTCCACAGCAATGCACAGAACATGTTGTCTATGCCTGCCTGCTACCTCTCACTTTTTAATGTCCAGGAGTAATACAATCCTGGGCAAGCTTTAAATGTCTCTGTTACACTACACCATTTCCATGGTTTTCAGCCAGTAAGAAGAGCAGGAAGTCTGCATCCTCCAGAGCTGCAGAGGCTGGCACATCTTGACTGTTATTTTAACTTGCTCCAACTGATATTTCTTTTATCTTCTTCTTTTCTTTGGGGCATAATTCAAGTTGCTATGTGGGTGTTTATAAATCACAGAAGTATACAAACTATAGCTTCCTGAACAGTATAAATATTTATATATATATATTTATACACACATATATATTTACACATACACACATATATTTATATACTTATTATGACCAGAGCCTCCAGGACTGTGTGCATCTCAAAAGACTGATGCTATCAAAGGACACTTACTTCTCTTAGAAAATATCAGTGTCTCACTCTAACTAGATATATCACCTTGTTTGCTCTAAATATAACCCACAGTGAACCAAGAGTTACAAAGAACTCTTTCCTCTTTCAAACATAAATAGACTGAAACCCCACTAAAATACTAAAAACAAATCTCAAATTACCTGCTGCTTTACAGCATCTTTTTTAGTAATCTTTTTTCCCCCACCCTTCTAAGTTTCTGGAATACGTTTATAAAGAGCAAAGGATTCAAGTGCTAATCTAAGTAAACCCTTCCTAGAAATCAATTTCCACACACAGGAAGTTACTCTGCTGCAGTACATTGACTACATTTGAATCCTCTATACAGTTCATGATTCAAACATCAATATATTTATTCTCATAAGAGAAAACCAAGTCCAAAAAGGATAAAGGTTTTGGATTAAGGTGTATTTCTAAAAATAATATTTGAATAGTTGCAGTAGAATCTTATTAATTTACTTCTGGCAAAGAGTGTAATAACTAACTTTTCGTTAAATGGTACATTTTCTTTCTTTTCTTTAGGAAAGGAGTAGAAGTTTATCTCCATTTTCACAAAAAAAAAAACCCCAAAAAACAGTAAGGTCTCAAACACTGGAAAAAATACAGCATACAATTATTAATTATAAATTCTTAACAGATTGTTTAACGTAAAGGAAGATTTCAGATGTCAAGTAGCCATGCAGAATATTTAAGACAGTTCAAGAATCTATAAATGAAAGCTAAAAGCACTGTTGTCTCCAGGGAGATACTACCAAGAGTTCCTGTCCAAGCCCTTGGAAAAAGCATAATATTGGTATCAGTGCTAAGCATCAAGATGAACAAGTATCAATTCCCTAAGTCTTATTTGCTTATTGGCATCAGTCATTTCTTAATGTTCTGCATAGGTTTGTATTATTTTTACCAGCCAACCAGCACATGGAGGCTGAATATAAGAGATGAATGTACAATACAGTATTGACCGACATGCCGCTAGGTTGCAGAGACTGAAGAGTATTTGACATCCCTATGCAGCAATTGTTGCTGGGTTTTGAAACTCTGGAGTTCAAAGAGTTCCCTACAGAAAATTAAGTAATTCCATTTGGCCTGAAAAATCACTTCTTCCCATGTGATTCAGCAGATCCCAACATCAGAGCTACTGCAAAGAAGCAGCCAAATCATTTATCATCATCTCTTAATGAAATTTTTTTTTCCATTTCAGAATTACCAAAAGGTCTTTTCTCTCAGCAACAATGTGAAATACTGCTAAGACAGACGCACTAGAAAACCCAGAACATACTCTTAAAACCACAGCAAAGCACACACGACCGCAGTGCTCACTGCATGGTTACAACGCCAATCAACAAAAGTCATTCCACAAACCAAATAAACATACGACTGCCTCTGCAGTTGTTTATTCTCTGTGTAGACAGACCCCAAACATTCCTAAAACACCACCACTATGATCAGCATTGAAGTCTGAATACCTTTACCCATGGTAAAGGCGGGAAAAAATGCATCTGTACTTGCAACAGTGTTCTGGCAGTAAGTCACCATACACATGCCAAACAAAAACAATGCAATTCCAACTCAAATAACAGCTTCCTGGTTCAAGCGTATCAACAAGCTCAAAGCGCAATACAAGTACGTGTTAGAAATGCAAATGCAACTGCTGTGGGTACATCTTAACATGCAATTGTTGTGCTCACGTTTTGTATGCCAAAGTCTGTCAGTACCATATTTTACTTGCAAGGTGACAATTGTTAAGATGTACCCACCAAAGCGAAACACGTTATTTACTTGGATATCAGTTGCCATACCCTTTTCTGATCTAAGGTCTTCTGTCTCCTTTTTCAGCCTTTCAATATCTGTCAAGAGTTCCATGTTCTTCTTCTCAGCTTCTTGCAATTTACTTCAAAAGAATACAAACAAAAAAACTATGTAAATATTGATAATCCACAATACAAGTCACTTTTTTTTATCCATAGAATCATAGACTCATAGAATGGGTCGGGTTGGAAAGGACCTTAAGATCATCTAGTTCCAACCCCTTGCCATGAGCAGGGACACCTCGCACTAACCATGTCGCCCAGGGCTCTGTCCAACCTGGCCTTGAACACTGCCAGGGATGGAGCATTTACCACTTCTTTGGGCAGCCTGTTCCAGCGCCTCAGCACCCTCACAGTAAAGAACTTCTTCCTCATATCTAACCTGAACTTCCTCTGTTTTAGTTTAAACTCATTCCCCCTTTTCCTATCACTACAGTCTATCTTTGCATGCTATTTAAAAATTAATGCCCAGCAAGCTTCTGGATGTCATCAAATGCAGAATGAATTCAGAAATCTATTGGGACCTGTTTAGTATGGTATTTAAAAAAAGCAAACCAACATTAAAAGCAATTAATTGCCCCTGTTTATCCATTAAATAGGTTCCTGTTTCTAATTAAATAGTAATTGTGTGAGCCTGTATCCTGTGAATGAGAAAAAAAGACCACATGTATTTTTATGCTTAAAATTGGGGTTTTTTTGTTGTTTTTTTTTTTTTTTAATTTGTTAATTCACAGTGCCTCTGATACTAATAGATGATGTTGAACTGTTTTTCTTCTCAGTTACTTCACAGTTAGTTGTCTTGGCACTTGCTGATTCATAGCTGATAGGTAACACATGTCTACCACACTTCTCATCCTTGCCTATCAAAGCAAACAGTGATTCTCCTGTTCTTAGAGAATCTACAGTGATGCCCATCATGTTACCTAGTGTGAAAAACATCCAAGTCAGGTGGACAAGGGATTTGCACCTTACAGACAATATATTTGAATCTCAGCTCTGTCCAACTGCTTTCCTAAAGTTGCAAAACAAGTCAAGTGCTCCAAGCTAAATTGAACCTGGAGACCTAGAAATGGAATGTCTTCCCACTAATCCCTGCTTTAGGCATTCACCTAAATGAAATCTAAAGAGGGAGGGGGGGGAAAAGTCTGAGGAAGGCATACAAGAATTCATAATCTTCCATAACCACATCTTATTACTGTGCAAATCTGTATGCAAGGATTGATTTTTGTCAGCTAACCCAATGAAGCTATCAAGAGAATGGAAGAGAGCATGTTCTAAGACACAAAACCAAATTCTGCTTGCATTAGAACTTGTTAACACAACTAGGAGAGACTGTATTAAAGATATTAAAGATAAACTGTCCCCTCTGAAAGTCTTCAATATGGGTGAACAATGTGCAGCTTCAGCAAAGAAATCCAACAGGATGCTGGGTTATGTCAACAAGGGCATCACCCCCAGAGATAAAGAAGTCATTATCCCACTCTACTCTGCACTTTCTAGGCCATAACTGGAACACTGAGTTCAGTTTTGGTCCCCACTATTCAAAAAGAAGAGGTGGACAGGCTGGAGAGGGTTCAGAGAAGGGCTACAAAGATGATCCAAGAACTGGGAACCTGCTGTGTGACAAAGAATGAGAAGTGGATTTGTTCAGCCTGGAGAACAGAATGCTCAGGGGAGATCCTGTCACCGTGTTATGGTATTTAAAGGGTGGCTACAAAGAAGACAGAGACTCCCCTTTTTACAAGGAGTCACATGGAGAAAACAAGAAGTGATGGGCACAAGTTACTCCTAAGGACATTCCAATTGGATACAAGAGGAAAGTTTTTCAGAATGAGAACAATCAGCCATTGGAATAATTGCCTCAGGGAAGTGGTGGATTCCCCAACACTGGACACTTTAAAGATGCAGCTAGGCAGGGTGGTGGGACATCTAGTCTAGGTCATGCCATGCCTAGAAAGGCTGGACCAGATGATCCTTGATGTCCCTCCCAATCTGGTATTCATCTGCTTAAACCACGAAGAGCCATAGGGTCTTTTTTTCACATTTGGAGGAAAGAAACTGGCACATCATTCATTATCAAATTCTGACAGACAAGATAGTTAAAATCAAGATTTGATGACACTCCCTGGGAGGTATCACAGTATATTTCCATCAGAACAATTCAGTCTTACCACTCTGTAGATATACAGGAAGCTTTGACTTTGTTCAACTCATCCTGAATAGCCTGTTTGGCTCGGATTTCAGCATCAAGAGCAGACTGAAGTTCCAACCTTGCAGACATATCCAGTTTTGCAAAGCGGCGCATCTTCCAGGGCATGTCCTAGCAAGGAATAAAAAGAGGGAAAAGAAAGGCTATGAGAAAAGAAAGCTGAAAGTGAGGAATGGAACTAACTTCAACAATTACATTTCTGTCTATTATGTTCTTAACATCAGAGTTCATTAATTTTAAAGTAACCTAAAATTAAAAAATGTAGAGTACTGTTACTAGTAGTAGTATTTGTAAACTCAAGTACTATATGGGCAAGATGAAAATCTTATGCTGTCATAAGAGATTTTGTGCATTTTAGTTTTGATGTGCCTCGATTCATATGACAGCTATGAAGGACATTCACATTTCTTAAGTAAAAGACTTTAAGGCTTTCATCATCCAAAGTATAGATTTACTTCAACAAATTCATATACGATTATAAACCAGCTACTTGAACAATAACAGATAAAATCATATTATAAAGATGTTGGTGTTTAATTCATTGATAAACAATAAATTGGCTATTCAGTTATTCAGAAGGGAAGCTCTAGAAAAGTTTAACTTTTGACTAACACAGATTCTACAGACAGGTAGAATCTGCAGCTGAAACTATCACGTTAGTGATTTTTCAAACACACCCCTCCCCCAACATATAGAAATAGTCTTACTGTAGCTCTTGCACCCAAACTGGAGTTTCTCAGGGCCTCTAGTTCTTCTGTCATTTTAGAGGCCAAGGCTTGAAGATAACCTCGAGCATCTTTTTCATCACTTACCCTAAAGAATTACAGAATAAGAAAAAGGTGTTTTAACAAAGAACTGAAAGAAAAAAAAAACCTAATATCCCTTCAACAAAATAGCAACCAGAAACAGAAACAAGCAGAATACAAAAATCCTAAAGAATAAGGAAACAAAATAATACAATAAAGAAATCCAAACAGAACTAAGCCTTTACTGCTTTGCAAACTTCCATTAAAAAATATCCACCCTTAAGAGAAAGCATAAACATTAAAGAACTATGTATGTAAGAAAATAATATGTCTCAGTACAATACAATATTGGAACTAGTGGTTGACTTTACTGTATCAACTGACTATGAGAACTAGTAGTTAGAATCAGTGATGTTATTTCAAGAAATGCTAATTAAAGAGGGAGAGTCTAATTCCAATGTTATTAAACAGCATAAGCCAGAAGAGGCTGACTTTATTAAAGTCAGTGGGAGTTTTGATATTAATGAGTCACTATTTTTCCCAAGGTATGCTAGAACTCAGTGGAAGCAGCACTCCAACTTCTTTTCCCATAACATGTTGGATACACATTGTGACGACCAGATACAGATAAACTTGGCCTATACACACTACTTGGCATGTAAGAGTGGGCAAAAGATGTGAGAAATAGCACTAAGATGCTTTTTGGAGTGGAAGGTGCATAATTAAATACATAGTAAACAGAAAAGAGTGTAAAGAGGAGTAGAAAGAATGTGAAGCTTTCAAGGCAAAAAAGCAAGTGATGTAGAAGGATGGAAAAGTGATTTAGGAATCAGCATTTATCTTCTCTATTTTTAATGACATGTAAAAACTCTGAGGAAAAAAGGGACCATGTAAGATTTAAAATAAAATAGATTTGAAGCCTTATTTTTTAACTTTCTAATTAAAGCTGACAAACTTTCAGTGTCCAATTTCTTTGTCAAGTTTTACCACGCCATATAGAGCCTTCTTTATGGTAGGCTCTATAAGGTAAAGAAACACTTCAGTTATTTGGTTTACGATGCACAGAACCTTCAGGCTCTAAATGCTGAAAAGCTGCACATGGAAAAACCTCAGAGAGACGTTCCACAAAGCACGTAGAAAACTAGAAAATAAAAAGATAAAGTCAATTTTTGCAGAAATCTATACTGAGTTTAAGGAAACTCCTCAGACTCGAAGACAGAGAACAAAAGCAGTACAAATGGGGGGAGATAGTTTAGTTGTCCACTAGATGGCAAAATTCCCTCGATAATGAGACATGGTGATTAAATGCATGTTTGCATACATTGATGTGAAACGGTTCCGTGAACCGAGGAGCTCTTGCAAAGTTTGGATTTCTTATTGTTTTGCTGGGTTGGTTTTGTTTGTTTGGCTTTAAAAACAAACGATCAGAGCAAGAATAGTAAAGTTACTATTACTAATGTTTTCTCTCCTTGCCTCACTTGTTGGGGAGAGCCCTACCAAGCACAGCATCAGACCTAAGGAAGAGAAGTTCTTCAGGTTCCACACAGTCAACTTCGTTTACTGAAAATTTAGCTGAGGTTAATGGCTCTGTTTTCATATAAAAGTGCCCTCGCAAGCTTATCAACTATAATAAACCTAGCAATATAGTACATGTCCCTGTCACATTAAATTCAACTTTTTGATTGGAGCTAACACCGTGACAACCTTCAAATAAGCACTGACTAATATCTAGTCTGCTATTTGTCAGGCTGCTCAGAAACTCAGGCTCTCCAGATCTCTCTCTCTTTCTTTACAATTCAAAATGGAACCAGAGGACTAAAGGTTTTTGCTGAACAGGAGGGGTCTTAAAGCCCTGGGGTCTTAGTCCAAGCTGCATCTTACCTGATTTAAAAACCCTAAGGAAGTCCAAGAGCCATCACTCCCAATCCTCCTGGTTTCTCAATGCTTTTAAATTTCTGTCTTTGTATCACTATGCTCAATCCCTGCACCTTCTTTTCTTCCCCCCCCTACTCTCCTTAACAAAATTTGGTTTTAAAGCTGCTTCTCTAAGAAGTTTCAACACTTTGCTCTGCTCCCAAACCCTGAAATTTCCCCGTCTTCCCGAATTTCTATTTCACAGATCCTTAACTTCTGATTATTCACACCACAAGCACAACACATCTCAGAATTGTTCATGTTTTGAGTTTCTTACAGTTGAATTTGCTCAGAATTTTTGCTAAATTTTTTCCACAATTTGTGTGTGGTTTCTCCTGAGAGCAACCCAGTTGAATCTAAGCCTAACATCCACTAGGAGAATTAGGTAGGATTTAGCTCATCCATATAAGCATACTCAACAACACAGAATTATTCATTTGAACTAGTTGTCTAGGCTTCCTTTTCAATCAGTGGAGAGAAAAAGTGACTTCTATAGTACTATTCATGGGATTTTAGTTGTCAACTTAGGACTTCTAGACCTAGGTTACAGGAATCCCTCCCAGAGAGACCAGTAAGATTCTTGCCAAGTACAATGGGAATCACTACCAAGATTTCCATCGACCTCCTTTCTGCAGCAGAACAGAAATAGGGTAGTATGGCTATTTAAAGGATTCCTTTTTGAAGTGACTGCATGAACCTCCAATGCAATCAATCTCTCTCCCATCTCCCAAAGGAAAATTTATAGCTGACAATAAAAGCCACAGTACTTCTTACTCTTGTCAAGGAATGATGAGTGATTTGGCTAATATAAACTGTCAATGTAACAGCTCCATTAAGGCTGAATGCTCTGTGAGGGTCTGTTGTTACCATAGTAGAATTTGCAATGACAGTGTTTGTATCAAAATTTGGCTATATTTATAGAATCTTGGGATAACAACAGCAAAAATAAAAAGGCTTTTGTACATCTATCCTAAAAAGATTCAAGAGAGCACAGTAAGAAAGCTGGAAAAAGCTAAAGGGAACATGATAGGCCATCAAAATTACTCACAAGTTATAAAATCTGAAGGAAATAATGATTTAGAAGGGTGCAAGGAGTCATGAAGAAAGTGACCATCTTAACCACCCAAAATATGGATTTGAATAGTGCAGCAGATTTCCTAAGAGAGATATCTATTAGGTGGCAAAGCACTCAAAGGACATAAGGGACTCCTTGGGCTTGTTACTTACAACTGGACTAGAACAAATCCCTCAAACTACCATGGGCAGCTGAGCAAACTGTTTACAAACTCAGTAATTAATTCCATCTACTGCCTCCCATCCTTCATGAATCATGGCACAAAATGAGGATGGTGGCCAAACCCCATGTGGAAAGTATGCACCCAAAATCTGTATTTTAAAGTAGTATTATGTGAAAAATCTGTTAGTTTTGAAGAGGGAGCCTACAAGCTTTCCTCTACTTTGTTAGCACCAAGTCATTCTGTTGTCATACTGAAGAGGTGGACAGGTCTGGATTTAAACTGCATGTTCTTCTGAGGAAAACACAGGGCTTGTGAAGGGTTAAAATAAGGCTAGTTTTCTTCTCCTTTTCAAAATGTTTATCATTATTATAAATGTTTAAAGACTTCCTATAGCATCCTATGTTCCACAGCAAAAAAAAAAAAGAGAGAAGGATCTGGTTTCAGTATGCAGTGCTGAATTCTAAGGCCAGCAGATGGACATGACCAGATTATCTGGATAACTAATGGAAAATCTAAACATAATAAGAAAAAATATTTGAGCCAAGCTAAGGCCTCAGCTGAAAAAAAACTTAACATCAGCAGAGAGAAGTATGGAGGGAAAGTACTGAGATGTGTATCGTGACTAAGAACAGGAACCAAGGCTGATCTTTTTAATCTCCTTCAGGTTTGCTCACAGTATTTCTCTCTTTTCCTTTTCACAGAGTTGTTTAATTTTTAGTTCCTTGCTTTTAGAAAGACGTTATATTATCATAAGAGAGCAGTAAAATGGTATCTTTCATTCAGGTTAGTCTTGCATGTTCCTGATCATTTTCATTAGGTATCTTTAGAGATGCAGAACACTCAATCCCAAACCTCTTTTGCTCCCCCAGTCACATACACAGGAGATCCTTTATCACAAGCCTAAACCACATCAGTAGCACTTCTTAAAATATTAAACACACTCATAAATTGGAGGATGGACATTCTTAATGGCTGTTGGTATGTTTTTACATAGTGTTAAGTAAAACAATCCCCAGACTTGGCTTTTTCCAGAACTGCCCAGTTTTAGGAGTGCTTTCACATGCAAATCTGAAAAATGGGGTTTGGTTACCTTGGTGCATTAAGAACGACAAGCATTACCTCAAAATAATATGGAATGTGAAATAATAGACTTGTCTGTCTTGTTACCTTGATTTTTTAGCCCACATAAAAATTTCTGATTATCTAGAAATTAACTGGTCATTTAAACACCTTTTATGTATTTTTTATTTCCTTCATGCCATCTACTACACTCACAGTTGTGAGAGACGAGATTTAAAAGGAATACACTCAAAAGTGGAGCCTGCAAATTTGTTAACCTCTGCTACAAATATAATGGCCTTAGATACTATGGACTTCATAGCACAGATTTGCAGTACACAGTTTCATGTAACACAACCAGTGCCTAAAACACTTTCAGAAGCCCAGAGGACAGCCCTTCTTTCTTGTTACATATTCACATGGCAATATCCAAAAGCCAAACTTCTCCGTATTTAGACAACAAAATTATACTGACATTACAAAAATATCAAACACTGTTTAATTAAAAGAAACTTTTCCCATTTTTGCTTTGACACAACAAATTAGATTTTTTTTACTAACATGAGATGGGAATAATGAGGGGGAATAATCAAGTAGTAACCCAAAAAAAGATTAGTATATGATGATCAAATCTTCCCAGAAGTGGATAATCTGTAAAAAAAGATATGTGGATACAAACTGCTTTTGTAGATGCTAAACACTGCAATAAACCATGAAAGGGAGGGGAGAGAAGCAGGCCTGGAGAGGAAAAATAAAAGCCACCTAGATAAAACAATCTTTTTCTCTGAATAGTTTCAACTTGGGGTTTTTTGTCCTTGATTTATTAGAACTGGCCAGAAGACTTCAGAAAAATAACGTCATTATTTATCAAAACTATTATTAGAAACATCACTGGACTGGATTTGTGGTTGTCTCAAATGCCCTCCTTGTAAAAAAAACCCATCACATAAAAGTTGCACTGTATTTGTTTCATTCTGCCACATGACAAGCAGATGAAGGAAATTAATGCCGAGACACAAACACTCCGCCACTGCTTTTCCCAGGCTTGCTCCCTCTCCGAGGCAGGAGCTCAGCACATGATCCTTCCAGCATTCTTCCAAAGCCACAAGCCATACCCAATGGCCATGATTCTCCTGCACTTAAAGAAGTTGTGTTTGGTAAGACACTTTCACTCTTAAGGAGGATTTGGGTATTATTAAAATCTGAAACAAAAATACAGCACAATCCAGGCTGGTTGTAAGGTTTTACCTAAGCACTTCCAAGTGCCACATGCAAAGGCAAAAACTGAGTAACAGCCCTACCACATACTGAGGGGATTCTGCAGTGACATTAGAGCAGAGTACTCACCACTGGATGATCTCAGTGATCTGGGCCTCCCAGTGGGCCACGGACTCCTTTTTATCAGCCAGGTCTCTCATCTCTTCTTCCAGCTGCCGGTTATTCATACTCAGCCTCTCAAACATGGCGGTGAGCTGAATGAGAACGTAAACGACTTGTTAAAGGTATGAACTGCTGTGCTTCCACCTCTGCAGACTCAAACCCATGTGTTCCTGCCACCCACATTGCTTTAAAAACTGGTGCTACCCATCACGATAAACACCATGTTAACAATAAAAGCCAGAATCTCTTCTCATGTATGACCTTAGCTGTGCTGAAAGATCATCTTTAAGGACTAGAACTGCATTTTTACTCTAACTAATTAGTTTTCTGAGAATTAGTCTCCAAATACCTCTAGAACTCTTAGGAGGTTTCTGCTTTGCAACATATAGGTGTGGAATGTTCTATATGAAAAAACCTACATTGAAAGGGCAAAGCAAGGGCACAAAAATTCTTATAGCTCAGATAAAACTGCCAAACCTCTCCCTTGTTCAGTAACCATGGAGAATGGGAGGCTTAACAGATATAGGCATGAGTCAGTCCCGAGATTCTCCAGGTGTCTCACATTCCCCTCTTATTTCATTTTACTTACTTGCAGTCAGGGAAATTGAAATGCACATCTGTAAGTACAATACGTTGTATCTAGTAATTAACCTCTCACATTCACACAGCTGTCACTCATACATGCATATTCTGCAAGACAAAGCCACAGCTAACCTGAGTTGTTATGGGGAACTAAACCTTCATTTTGTTAAATGGCTATTCAGAAAGCCAAACTGGAATGAGAGATCAGATAGACTGTATAGGAAGCCCTGCTTAGGAGAATGACTCTCAAGTGAAAGGCTTCTTTTAGTATTGAGATATATTAACAAATTGAAGTGGTGAAAAAAAAAATACTAGTTTTAAATCTGTTCTGCTTTTTAGTTCAAAGTACTCTACTCCATACTTCTATTTCTTGTGATTTAAATATGCCTGACACCAAGCAGAAAAACTATCAAAGTGACAAATCTCTTGGACTAAGCCTACATACAGGCATAGTATGTGTCTTATACAGGTATGAAAATAGACTTCAATTTGAACACTGGCATGCAAACATGCTTACTTTGAAGAATACTGTACTTTCATCATATTTTTAGAAAATTTAATGCATTACAAAATGAATAGACTAGTTTAGCAAGTCTTGGCTAATGCACAATGAACTTGAATAACCTGTCAAAATGAACAATAAGGAGATAATCTAAATGCATGAAAATTATTCCTTGCTCAACAGACTTCAATTAATATGCCTTATCATTTGTATTTTTTTAATATCTCAAAGTAACACTTACTTTTAATGGGTGGGAGGGGCCCTGCTCTTTCACAGTAATTGACATGCAAATATAGTCTAAGTAACCACATTATTAACTATGTATTTTTATATTTGGGTCAGACAATGAAATAAACCACCTTTTTTTGTCAGCTTAAAGTATTGCCTAAAATGAATCTTACCATACTGTAAGACCATCTAACTCAATTCCTTCACATAAATACACATATGCATATGTGCTCACATTCTCAAATTCTAAATGCTCCATCCCTGGCAGTGTTCAAGGCCAGGCTGGACAGAGCCTTGGGTGACATGGTCTAGTGTGAGGTGTCCCTGCCCATGGCAGGGGGTAGGAACTAGATGATCTTAAGCTCCTTTCAAACCCAAACCATCCTATGATTCTACGTAGATGCTCTATTCAAATCAAATACTGATCACCGCTTTTGGTGTAATACCAATTTCTGCTATCAGTTAAGAGTTAATAATAACCAATAGAGCTCCATATTGTCCTGTCTATACATAGCACAATTGTAAACTCAGGACTCAACTGATCAGTACTTACCTTATCGAGCTCATTTGAAAGTTTTTTGTTTTCCTCTGTCAGCAGAGTCTTTTCTCGCTCATATTTCTGTTTGAACTCTGTTTCAAATTCCTCTCTCTCACTTTGGCTAAGAAATAAAATGAAGCAGAATTAGAAAGTTTCTTATTCCAAAACTCATCACACTCCTCACTCAAAGACAAAAAAAACCCCAAAACCCAATGCACACACTAGCTGAAAAGCAAGTACTATGCTGGTCATACCACAGCCTATTTAAACTAAGTAACGTATTACAGGGCTGTAAGAGGGTGTGTTGAGTATTATCAGTAAGACTAGGATCTTTCCTTCAGTATGGAATTGATAGAGCTCCACTAAGTTCATGTTTATCAATCCACTTACACTTACTACATTGTTCAGATGAATCATCCCAACACGGAGCAGCTGTGATGCTGCAGACCAAAGCGTGTGTCAATATTCTGAGATGCTCAGAGTAAATTCTCAGCTCACAGAAACATTATTCTAACTTGGGATTTCCAGAATTCCAAAGTTTCACTATAATGACAGGCAAAAATGACCAGATATAAAACCAGAACATAGAGAAGCTAAATCAGTGCACTCAGGGCTGGGTCTCTGATAAGAATAGCTAATATGGGCTAGTTTTGGGATAATTTAGAACAGAAACAGGACACTCACTGGAGCCGTTAATTCAGGTTCTATATGCTTACTATCAGCCAAAAGTGGATGGATAACCTACACACTTAGTATCACCAGATCCTAGAGCAGGTTTGGACCATTCTTTATGAGAAAGAGTTTCAAAGTAGCTGTTTCCCTCAAACCTTCCCTTCTCCTGTGGATGTCACTCAGTAGAGGAGAACCCCTGATTAATTGTACTTAACATCAACCTTGATCTTGCACAATGAATACAAGACCCTGAAAATAAATGAAACTGCAGGTCCTCTGTTTGCCAAAACACATTGTAATTTCCTAGAAGTGGTGTACAGCAGTGTTTTAGATGTGTATTTTCCACCTTGCATCCACTCTTTTCAGACTCGCTACATTTGCATCTTGTATTCACCATTTCACCAATTATTCAGGTAACTGGCACAAAGTTCATTGGTAGGTTGATGGAAATGCCAGAGATAAAGTAATATCCATTCAGCAAATACCACTGTCCAGCCTTAAAAGATTTGAAAAAGTGCTCGGTATAAAAGGGTAGTGCTGTAGAAATAAAATCCAGGGGAAACCTTGTCTTGAGCACTGACATTTTTCTTCTGGATACTGATTTGGATTTTACATTGTACAACAGAGAGTTTCCATCCTCACCTCTTTTTCTGAGACGCAGAACTACCGCGGCTCTGCCAAACTGAGAGAACACCCTTAAAAGATGATACTTGTCAGTGGTTACAGTGAACCCAGTTAAGAGTAATGCTGGTTTGAATTTCCTATTCCTAATTTAAAATTCATTTAGTGCTTCAACCACTCTTTGAAATCTAGTACAGCATGTTAGACTCATGGTGAAATTCTATGTTGCTAGGCATCCTTTGAAACGTAACACTCCATCCTAGTAAAGTAACAGACTACCCTTACTGCATAAACGCCAAGCTTGAAATTCACCACCACTCCTTTTCTGTATCAACAGATTCCATGCATATGATGAGCAGTCTAGGGAAAAGGCAGGAAGAGATTAAAGCGTTGGCTGTCAAGGGAATTAATAACAGGTCCTGCTTCTGTTTGCAAGGCACAGATTCAAAGCTAATTCCTCAGACAGTAGACCAAACTAATTTTTTATTTATTTCTTTTATTTAGCTTTTATGGTTTTCTTCAGGGTTTTTTATTCTCTATTTGTCTAAAATTTGTTCTTTTAAGGCTTTAGGGCTCAAAGCAGTCATAAATAGTGGTGGATTAAGGAAGCTTTGGAACAGTAAAAGAGCCCAACATATTTGTAGTTTTCCGTATTTTATAGTCTTAATTTAACTCCTGATTGTCACTAACTCAGTAAGTCAGACTGCTATAGTGTCATACAGAAACAAAGATACATTTTAGACAGAGGAGAATGTAGGTGTAATATATCACACCCAAATATCAACTCAGGAAAGCACAGAACAGACTCCATAGGCGTACCCTGGACAGCCAGGAAGACCAAAATAAGGCATTTGCTTTGAAGCTTGGCATCCTCCACTCCCATCAAACTTTTTCTCTCATCTGAAATCTAGCTATGTATCTGCTCTTCAAGTTTAAGACACCATATATGATCCAGCTTTCTTTTTATCAGTAAAATAACTCTAGCAAACCACATGCAAGCAATGTGAAACACAGCTTCATGGTATCACTCTTGTCACTCCAGCTCTTTACTGCAGCTGTACAAAGTGGAGAGATACTTACTGCTTTGAAACCAAGGAAAGCAGAGTGGAACAAACAGCAGCCCCCAGGCTTCTTTGTATCATACAATTTAAAACCACCAAACGCTGGTTGATAAAGCTGCCTGCTTTATAAATCTGTCATTAAATGACGGGCTTAAAAGAAACTTCTACAAACACAATTCTAAGAAATGGAATATGGCCTGATACTATGTTCCTACATTCCCAATTTTAATTGCATGGAGGTTAGGAGACTTTAACAAAGGGCAAGTACAGAAAGGGAGTTTCTCCCCCTTGAAAATTTATGCTGTTGTAATAGCAGAAGAAAGCAAGCTGAAATTTGAAGGAAACAAAGAAAACAACACCTATTTTTTAAAAACGAAACAGAAACCACCAACAAGCAAATTCCAAAAAACACAATGCACAGACTCTGACCAAGCTCTTACTGACCCTTGTTTAGAATAACCTACATAATTCACTCTATGCTGTAGCCCTGGTGAAGTAATGCAACCACACCCTTTTACCAAAGCCTTTTCATAAGCACTAAAGATTATTTTTAGACCTCTAAAGTGTTTTTGCCAAGCTGTATACACACAACTTCAACCCCCACGCCCACCCCAAGCCCATTGTTGAAATAATTCCACTTATTTCAGCATGAAGCCACCAGGTGCTTCCTTTTCAACTCTCACATTCAACACCTCTGAACTGGAAAGCTCACAAAAGGCTCTGCATGCTTGACTACAGCAGCTAAAAGAAGAAGAGGAGCTTCTTCCCAAAAATCTAATATAAATCTCCTCTCTTTGAGTTTAAAGCTATTCCCATCATCCTATCACAACAGTCCCTTGTGAAAAGCCCCTCTCCAGTTTTCTTGTAGGCACATCCAGCCTATGCATACCTGTGTTCAAGGAAGGAACAGTTCATGCACTTCATTCTAGGCTGTCTGATCTACCTCCCCTGCTGGAAAAGGACTATTAGAGAAGCAGTGTTTCCACTTCTACTGGCATAAGCTTAATTTACTACTTACACTTGAGAACTCGCTACAGTGTGGCTAAGCTTTCA